TATGACCAGAAATCCGCCATCTTTACTTTGTAGAGCTTGGCGTTCTGTGGCTTAGATGGCTTCGTTGCCCTCATTTGTTATCACGGGCCTGGACTTCTCTATCATTGGTGCATAAGACATGGTCGAAGAGAAGCGCTGCTGCTCGAGCATCGGCCTCCAAGAAGTCCTGCAACTTCAGCGTCCGGTGTGTTGCCTCCTCTTTCTCCCTTCTCGTCCTCCGCCCAGGCGGGCTTGCAGAGCGGCCGTGGCAGGCGCAACGTGCCAACTTGGCTCCTGGTGTTAATCTTGTGTGTTTCGTGGGAGTTGAACTTCAACCTGCTGGACCGGCTAACCCATGCCCTCCTCCGGAGGGCGCCCCCGACGGATCTATGCTGGAGGGAAGGCTCGGGTCATCTCGGCACGGGTCGGCGGTTTTCCTCAGAGCTCTCCCTCCCGGCCCTCTTCGGTCCGGCGCGAGGGCGGGAATGCTCGAACCTCCCCGGATCCAATGCTTGAGAGGGCGGTTGGGGCTCCGGCCCTCCCTCTCCCTCTCGGCTCCGTCCGGGGGGCAGGACGGGGCTGCCCCTTGTCCAGGCGACCCGGCAGCAGGTGTTGCATCCTTACCAGGGTCTTCAGGCGAAGAGCCTGCTCCCACGGACCCTAAGCAGTCGGAAGCAGGTGCACACAAGAACCAAGCGAGATGCCCTCGCAGGAGAGCGTACGGGAAGGCAAAGCGGAAACGCAAGCGCAAACAGCAGCGCTCGATGGCAATGCGCAGATTGCCCCTGCTCCGCAAGGCCTCCCAGCGTCGCCAGGGAAAGAGCCACGGCGAATGTCGTCACTTCCGGGGTGGCACTTGGAATGGAACACTAGGAGATACAGGGGTCATAGGCGGAGCAGAGCAACCTTTGAAAACCGAATTCTTGCTCACCCGCATGAGTGTGAGACATAGGGATTTCTGCTTGCTATCGGATCTCGGTTTCCCGGAAAACGGAATGAGAGAGCTTGATCAGGACGGAGTAGTTTGGACAGGTGTTATCAGAGGCAAACTGGGAGTTGCTCTGAGTGGGCGACTCACGGCAGAATGGAGGAAAGGAGGAGTCAGGTAGTAGAGAGGGGGGGGAGGACAGGAAGGGGACGAAGTGTGCGTGTATGCGTGTGTGTGTGTCTATCTTGACCCCAGGACAGGGCGCGCCTCGAGGCCCACGTCTCGTGGCTGGCTGCACCCCCTGTTCAGGCCCGCGCCGCGCACGGGCCCGCGACCGGCTTCACGAAAAGGCGCCGACAACGTGCGGATTATGGGAGGCGGCTTCGATGCCGAACTCGGCCCGTGCAGGGACCCCGAGGAAGCGTTGTGTGCCAGGGCCCCATGGGTCCCCTCGCCGATCCGACAGCGGAGGGGAGCTACTGGCATTTTGCCAGGGAAAAGGGCCGTTCGCCCTCAGCACTGCGAACCAAAGGAAAGAAAGAAAGGTGGAGGCGGTGGTACCCCCGCTTTCGCATGGGCCACCAGTTGGATCGCTCTTTCACCCGCTCTCGGGATCGCTGGCACGTCCACGCTCGTCGAACCCTCCATTTTGAATCGGTACCTGAACAAGGGGTGTCCCGACGTGCCAGGCGGCGCCAACGGCGCGCTGGTCTTCGGATCAGGGACGACTGCGTCATTGCTTGGGCGGCATACACAAACCACCATCCCGTGGAGATCGGGCTCCGCCTCGGCGGAGCGTCGTGGAGAAAAGGGGCTAAGAGCACACATAAAGGCGCGTCAGGGAGCAGTCCGAACTATCCAAGAATGATCGGCTCCAGCGCCTCCGCGAAGCACCTCCGGGAGCTCTTCGCGGCCAGCCTTGCGGAGTTTAAAGGGCGACAGGGACAGCCCACCGACGTGGCGGAAGATACGCTCCGTGGCTCAAGAGGCGGCGACGGACGTGCTTGGAGCCCTGCCAGTCCGGCATCGAATTCCTTGGCTCCGTGGCCATGAAGAAGAGAAACAAGCGTTGGACGCCAAAGTTGAGGAGGCGCGCGCCTTGTGGGCCCTGTCAGACGACGCCACGGCAGCCGCCGCATTGCAGGCAAAACGGGAAGCCGTCAAGGTCCGCCGCCGCACGCTCCGGGACTGGGAGCGCACCTGCTGGGAGGACATCGGGCGGCGGGCGTCCGAGGCCGCTCACCGCGGGGACCAAGGTTCCCTTCTATAAGCTGTTCAACTAGCTCCGCTCAGGCAGGCGCAAGCGCCCCCCAGGGCGCTCCAGCGTGGCGGATGTGGATAAGGAGCGGGCGGCGTGACGACGACACTTCGAAAAGATCTCGGGTAATGTTGGCCGCGCGGCCGATCAAGTATGGGAGTCGGTGTCGCGCTCGCCCCTGCCGGCCCCGTGGCTGGACGCCGCCCCCACGGACCTGGAGCTCGTCCGCTGTGTCGCCAAAATGAAGACAGGGAAGCAACCCGGCGAGGACGGCTTCGTCGCCGAAGCCCTCCGATTCGGCGGAGATGCGATTCGGCACTGCGTGCTCGCTATAGTGGGGCAAATGTGGAAACCGGCAGCAGAGGGGGAGAAAGGGGAGGAGGCCGCAGGCTGGCCAAATGATTGGCGCTCGGGGAAAGAGTTGCCGCTGTGAAAAAAGCAGCCGGGCAAACAAAAACACCTGACGCGGTATAGCGCTTCTTTCGGTGGGTTCCAGATTGTTAGCGCGGGTGTCGCAGTGGTCCGAAGAATTTGTGCGCGAAGAGCATCCGGACTTTCGCAAAGGGCGCGGGGCCGACGACGCCCTACAGGTGACACGGAGACTGATGGAACAAGCGTCAGCGATGATACGCGATGATCCAATAGTGGTGTCTTGTCTGGGCATCGAAAAAGCATGCCCCCGGGCCTGCCGCCCAACTCTATGGCGCCTGCTCGAGCTCCGCGGCTGTCCGCCGGGCATGCTTCGCGGCTGCAAGGCTTTGCGCGGACACACAAGGTACAAGGCGGGGATTTTGGGCGGCGTGTCGGGGGAGTGGTGCCCGAAGCGGGGCCTCCGAGAAGGGTGCCCCTCAAGCCAACCTTGAGTCAATGTGCTCCATGGCGCGGTGCTCAAAAATGATCGGGGGCGTCGCAAGCGATCGACGGAGGCAGCAGGCGTTATCCCCAGGGCGCTATGGGAGCATGAGATCGATGGGCACCTGCACAAAAAGGCCCGCAAGAGGCATCAAGAGATCACGGACAAGGGACAAATCGAAATCACAGCGCACGATGGTGCTGGGTGACGTCGGCTTTGCCGACGGCACCACGATTGCGGGCCAAGCTTCTGAGATGCCCGCCTCGGAACCTTTGCTGGTGGCGACGATGGCGGACTTAGAGAAAAGTAAACGCCGGCAAGGCAGAGGGCCTGGTCATCAGCGGCCACCCCCGGTCCCCATATGACGTGCGCAGACAGTGCGAAGTTCCACAGCTGAAACACATTGGGGGGATTCATCATGACAGCGGCCGTCAAACAGCGGACACCGCTCGCCGTGTTCACACCAACAAAGATCTAATCTGGACGATCGCCACAGGGTGGTCGCAGGGCACGGCCCACGGCCGTGGCTGGACGAGTAGGGTCTAAACCACTACGCGGCTGGCGGTGGCGCTGTGCCATAGCATCCCTGCTCTCGGGGTGTCGGTCCCGATCCTGGAGCAAAGCGGACATCCCCCGGCTCCAACGAGTCGCCAATTATGGGGTCCGGTGAGCGTTTGGGATGGATGTGTGGGCCATGGAAGAGCACTCGATCACTGACGCTGCGCTGTACCTGGCCTCCCGCTGGGAGACGATTGAAGATCAAATCGCTCTTCTGGTCATGCAATGGTTCGATCACGTTGCCCGTATGCTTGTCTACCGTGTGCCAAAACAAATTATATTCGGCTGGATCGCCGGCAGGCGGTGCGATGAGCATAACCGTTGCTCGTGGCGGTACCTATGGCTGAACCGCGGGGTACAGCGCATGCGGATTCATGACCACGACTGGTTTAACAGGGCCACCGAGCGGCAGGCTTGGAGGCAAGCAGTGGACAAGGTTTTTTTTGCCCTCGCAATCACGCTGGAATACCGTGCACTCGTGAACCGATGACGCCCTGGATCGCAGTTGCCTGGCAACGGTCCGGAAGGAGCCTCGGATAACATTTTGGGCGTCCCCCCGGTTCCTCCTCCGCCTCCCCCTGTTCCTCCCCCTCCCCCTCCTCCAAGAAGGGGTGAGGGCGGTGCGGCAGCAAGACCGGCCAATGGAAGGTACGCGTGCCCTGTCCCAGGGTGCGGGCAAAGCTTCCGTGCTGGCAACCAGTTTCGCTTTCATTATGATGAGTTCCTGCCATCCGGGACCCGAGCTTGGTGACCAGTTCGGCGCATTGTTGCCCCGATTGTAACCAGTACTTGGGTACTCGGTTCCAGTGCCACAAACCCCATTGTCAGGCGCGTCTGGAATTCCAGCGGGCCCTGTAGACCACGGAAGGGAGGTGGCTGGTGGCGCTGCATGGCCCGCGCCCCGGGCTCCACCTGAGGGATGGTGGATACCAACTGATGGCTCCGGCGCTGGGGGGGCGCAGTCATTTCTAGATTCGACGGCCCGAATAGCATGAGCATGGTCCCTGATGTGGTGTTTCACGCACCTGTCGTCACGCCGGCGTGGGACCACCGCTGGATAAGTGCACGTTCGCGTACCAACAAGACGGCCAGTTTCCGGCAAAAGTAGGATGTAATGGTGATGCCAACATCTCGGTCTCATCGCCCGCGATGGGCATACCAGACATGCCTCCTATGACTCAATAGTCCGTTAAGCTGTGGATATGTATATCAATGGGTACAGGAGGGCAGGAGGAACAGGAGAGGAGGAGGGACGACGACGACGACGAACCCTTTCCCTTTCTGCGCGCTCGGTGGCGGGCACGCGGTGCCCGCACCGCGATATCCTGGGTAAACAGCTGCGGCAATCGGCGGCAGCGGGGCGTCCGGCGGCGGCTGGGAGCGAGCAGGGCGAGAAGAGTAACAGCTGGAACGGAAGGGCGGGCCTCCTGTCAGGAGCCCGATCCACGCGAGGCACATCATGAAACAGAGCTTGCCGCCGAACAGCGACGTGCTGGGCACCTGCGCGGGGAATTCAGCGGCTCGGTCAAGCAATTTTGTGCGGGAACCGATCCTCCAACATTGCGTCGCCCCCCTCGCTCCCGCCACCTGCTCGCGTCGTCTCAAGAGAACACCACGGGCGGTTTTTGACCCTTTCGGCCCCCAGGAAGGAGCCCTCACTGGATCCCGGGGCCTTCAAAAACGACTCGGGATGAGAAGCGGATCCCGCGGAGGTGGTCCAGATCTCTAGGGGCTCACGTTGCGAACAAACTAAGACGTCGGACTTCTGCGTTTCGGGTAGACGCAATGGTGGGGTGGTGACAGAGGTGGGGCTAGATGAACATCGCTTCAAGTGGCCCCATGGGCACCCAGCTGGGTTCGAGTCCGAACCCCACCTTGGGAAAATCTCCCCTCCACGTGCCCCCGACGCTCTCCTCGGGCTCCTCGTCCGCCGCCCATGCTGCACCGTTCCTAGGGCCGGGTCTCGTCTTGCCATCCTCCTTGCCCGCCTCCTCCTCCTCTCCCTCCTCCTCCTCAGCCTACTACTCCGTGTCGTCATCCTGGCCATTCTTTCCTCCTTCTCCCCGTCCCCTCACCCACTCGTCGTCAGCCTCCAACTCATCGTTTTCCTTCTCGTCCTCCTCCTCCTCCTCCTTCTCCTCCTCCTCTTCCTCCTCTTCCTCCTCCTCCTCTTCCTCCTCCTCCTCGTTCCCATTGCTCCTCCCGCAACGCGCGCTCCCCCTGCTGCTGCTCCACCTCCTTCGACTCGTCCGACTCCTCCTTCCTCTCTTGCATTTGTCCCCTCCCTCCCCTCTTGATCCTCCCGCGTTCCTCCCTTTCCGCCTCCTCCTCCTCCTCCTCCTCTTCCTCCTCCTCCTTCTTCTCGTCGTCGTCGGCGTCGTCGATATCGTCATCGTCATCATCGTCATCATCATCAGCAGCAGCATCAGCATCATCATCAACAGCATCATCATCAACAGCATCATCATCAACAACAGCATCATAATCATTATCAGCATCATACTAATCATAATCAGCATCGTCATCGTCATCATCAGCATCACCAGCATACTCATCATCGTCATCATCACCACCACCATCAGCATCATATTCATAATCATACTCATCATCAATCCATCATCTTATAATCACCATCAGCAACAGCATCATCAGCAGCATCATCAGCAGCATCATCAGCAGCATCCTCACCGCCATCATCACCATCGTCACCAGTAGCAGCAGCATCATCGTCATCATCAGCAGCATCATCACTATTATCAGCAGCAGCAACACCACTAATCATCAGCATCGTCAGCATCATCCTCATCATGATCATCTTCCTCCTCCTTATCATCAGCACCACCATCAGCATCATCAGTGGCATCAACATCATCATCATCATCATCATCATCATCAGCAGCAGCAGCATCATCATCAGCACCATAATAATCAGCAGCATCATCATTAGCAACAGCAGCATCAGCATCATCATCATCAGCATCATCATACCATCATCGTCACCATCGTCATCAGCAGCATCAGCATCAACATCATCATCAGCATCGGCATCATCATCCTCATCCTCTTCCTCATCAGTATCAGCATCATGATCATCAGCAGCATCATCATCACCATCAGCATCAGCATCATCAGCATCATCAGTATCGTCAGCATCATCATCAGCACCATCAACATCAGCATCATCAGCATCATCATCATCAGCAGCAGCATCATCAAATCCTCCTCCCCCTCCTTCTCCTCCTCCCCCTCCTCGGCCTACTCGTTCCCCTGGGCCTCCATGTGCTCTTCTCAATACTAGGGCAGAACATCGAGGCCGATCCGCGCAGATGTTGAGACATAAAACGCGTAGGACGCTGAGAATGGGTGGGAGCAGGAGGAGGAAACTGAGGCGGAAGAACAGGAAGGAAGGGAGATGGATGAGGATGATGATGATGATGATGAGGAGGAGGAGGAGGAGGAGTAGGAGGAGGAGTAGGAGGAGGAGGAGGAGGAGGCGAACGACGACGACGACGACCACGACGACGACGACGACGACGACGACGACGACAGGGGAGCTGGGAGGAGGGAGGAATCAGGAACGAGGCAGGGGAGCGAGGGAGGCGACGAGATGAGCTATGCGACAAAGTCGTGGCTCAGCCGCGACCGCGTGGGGCCTCCTCATCCTCCTCCTCCTCGCCCTCCAGCTTCCCTCCTCCCTTTCCCACGTCCCTCATCCGTCCGTCCTCCTCCTCCTCCTCCTTTTGCTCCTCCCCCTCCTCGTCCTCGTCGTCGTCGTCCTCCTGCTCTTCCTCCAATTACTCCTCTTCTTCTTCTTCTTCCTCCTCCTCCTCCTCCAATTCCTCATCTTCCTCCTCTTCTTCCTCCTCCTCCTCCTCCTCCTCCTCCTGCTACTCCTCCTCCTCCTCCTCCCTCCCTCCTGCCCTCGGGGGCGCCAGAGTGAACAGCAGCTTCCAGGGCAGCGAGACCAGGTGAAAGGCCAGGTCACTCCACGGCGCCTGCCCCGCCACCTCCTGTTTGGCCCTCCCTCCTTCTCTCCGTGCTCCCTTCTCTTCCCTGCTCCTCCGCCCCCCTCCCTGCTCCACACTCCTCCTCCTATTCGCCCTCCTCCTCCTCCTCCTCACCCTCCTTCTCCTCCTCATTCACCTCATCCTCCTTGACTGTTCCGACGTGGGCGTATAACAACGGCCCTCCTCCGTCTCCTCCTCTTCCTCCTCCTCCTTCTCCTCCTCTTCCTCCTGGATAGATCACGATTCGAGCGTATGGCAACGATGGCCCCAACGTCAAGCCATACAAGTAAGCATCACCGCGCAGTAGCAGCAGCCGCCACGCAATCAGCAGGCGGCGACAGAAAGTGGGAGAATGAAAAGTCCTTCACCTTCTCCTTCTCGTCTTCCTCCTCTTCCTCCTCTTCCTCCTCCTCCTCCTCCTCCTCCTCCTCCTCCTCCTCGTCCTCCTCCTCTTTCCTCCTCTTTCCTCCTCTTCCTCCTCCTCCCTCCTCCTCCCTCCCTTCCACCCTCCCTCCCTTCCACCCTCCCTCCCTCCCTCCGTCGTGCGGCACTGCACTGCACGCCGGCACCCCACAACTCGAAGGGCCCCCGCGCCTCCACCCCCCCTCCTCGAGTCTTCCTCCGCCGCCATCACAGAGGCCCCCCCCGCGCTGCCGTGGCGGCCAAGCCCACGCTCGGCGGTGCGCCCATGGGGGGGAGAAGGCAGCGGGGGCGGGCCCTCGCAGAAGGCCACGAGGGCTCCTCTCTGAGGCTTCTCTCCTCCTCCTCCTCCCCCTTCATTTCCTCCTCCTCCTCCTCCTCTTCTGCTCCCACTCCTTCTCCTCCTCGCTCCTCCTCCTCCTCCTCCTCGTCCTCCTCCTCCTCCTCCCTCCTCCTCCTCCTGCCTTCCTCCTCCTCACTCCTCCTCTCCCTCCCTGCTCCTTCTCCTCCTCCTCCTCCTCTCCCTCCCTCCTCCCCCCCCCCTCGTCGTGCCCCTTTGGTGGAAGATGAATTAATAGAAAGAAAATAAGAGGTTAGAGAAGACAAAGATGAGGGAGTGATGGGGGAAAAAAAAGAAGTAAGGGAAAATGGAGCAAGAAACTAGAAGAAAACAAAATACAAACAAAGTGAGGTAAGTATAAGGGAAGAACGTTACGATCCTAAGGAAAAAAAAAAGAAAAAGACACAGGAAAATCAACTACATTGAATGCTTATTTCTGAGCGGGGAGACGTGAGACTCGGGTTCGGGAGACTCGGGTTGGCCTGACGGGGCCATCATGAAAATGACGAGACCCAATCTGACATTTGACGCGAGCTCCCGCTGCAAACGTTCCACGAAAACTGACCGTCAACATCCAGGACGCGCTCGTCAATAAGCGCCGGCAAACCCGAGTTCCAGCTTACTCGAGTCCTACGTTTCCCCGATCTGGGCCTTCCTCGCCATAGCTCGGACGTCTCTTCCCCGTGCGTTGTTCGGTGTCGTGCGTGCGTGTTTTTTGTCGCTCAATGGCCCAGGATGCTCCTCGATGGCCTTCCCCGAGAAGAAACGCACACGTCCGAACGATGCCAAGCTTCTCAGAAGGCCACTCAGAAGGCCCCTCTCAAGAGTCCACGAAGGCCCCGGGCCCCTCGAAGTTCCCTGAGCCTCCTCCGAGACCGCAATGAGGGCTTCTCAGAATGCGCGAAGGGCCCCCCGAGAGGCACCGCCGCCTTCTGAGAAGGCGTGAACCCTCAATGATCCTCGTCGCCTTCCTAATCCTCCTGCTCCTCCTGCTGCTGCTGCTGCTGCTGCTGCTGCTGCTGCTGCTCCTCCTCCTCCTCCTCCTCCTCCTCCTCCTCCTCCTCCTCCTCCTCCTCCTTGCAGGGTCCTGCGCCCAGACCCGGGTCATTGCACCCCTGGCTCTGCAGGATCCTGCAGGATCGGGCGCTCTGACGGACCCCCACATTGGCACCGACTCCCGCCTCTTGAGCCCCGATCCGATCCATAGCTCGGGTCTCCGGCAACCGTTCGGGGCGATCCCGGCACCCCCGGGGACGCTCTCGGCGAGGCGCCGCCGCCGGACCCCGCTGCGAGGCCGAGGGGCCGCCGAGAAACGACGAGCACGCCCGAGCACCCCGAGCCCGAGCAAGACGCTCCCGCTGCGGGCGCGCCGACGAGGAGTGGCCGCGCGCGCCCCGCGCGAGGTGCCGTGGGCAGCTCGGCCGCGACGCGCGCTGGACGCCCGAGTGTGCTCGCGGCTTGGAGGAGGAGGAGGAGGAGGAGGAGGAGGAGGAGGAGGAGGAGGAGGAGGAGGAGGAGGAGGAGGAAGGAGGGAGGAGGAGGAGGAGGAAGGAGGAGGAGGAAAAAAAAAAAAAAGGAGAGGAGGGGGGGGGGGGGAGGAAGGAGGAGGATGAGGAGGAGGAGGAGGGCAGGAGGAGAGGAGGAGGAGGAGGATGAGGAGGAGGAGAGAGGGAAGGAGGGAGGAGGAGTGGAAGGAGGAGGAGGAGGAGGGGAAGGGGGAGGAGGAGAGGAGGAGGAGGGGGGATGAGGAGATGGAGGAGGTTAGGAGGAGGAGGACAGAGGAGGAGGAGGAGGAGGAGGAGTCATGGTAGTGAGAGAGGAGGAAGGAGGAGGAGGGAGGGAGAGGAGGAGGAGGAGGAGGAGGAGGAGGAGAGGAGGAGGGCGGCGGCCCGCCGAGGGGGGCGCGAGACCGCACCTGCGCACGCGCCTTCTGGGGCCGCTCTTCTTCGGGAGGTCGCCGCGGCACAGACGCAGCCACTCGTGGGTCCACCGAGCTCGGGAGCGGCTGCGGGTTCTCTGCTTGTCGGCGGCGAGCGAAGGGGGCAAGTGAGACGTAGAAGGACCTCTCAGAAGGCCGCGGGACTTCTCAGAACCCCTTCGCGCACTCGGAGAAGTGTTTGTGTCTTCGGGGAAAGCTCAGAAAATTTCTCAGAAGGCGGGAGGACTTCCGAGCCTTCTGAGAAGGCCTTCTCCTTCTCACTTCCCCCCTCGCTCGCCGCCGAGTCTGGCTGTCTCGTCCAAGCCGATCAGAGTTCAGGTGGTGATCCAGAGTGGAGGATGACAAGAAAACCTGCTCGGTACTGGGACCGTTGCCGTCGTTAGCGTTGTTGTCAGGACGGTGTGCTTGACCATAGTCGCGATCGCGACTGGTCGCGGGGGGGGGCCATTCAGGACAGCGGTCCGCCTTGCACTATCTGTTTGCCTCCCCTCCCCCCACTTGGAGCCGGCGACCAGTCTTACATGCAGCCGCTTCGCCCCTTCTGCCAATGCACTTGCACTTCTGATGCGCACGGCTTCTGAGGTTCGACTGTCCGTTAAGCGGAGAGGGAGAAAAGGGAATGTGGTGTCGCGCGCTTTTACTCTCTAATCCCAAACAGCTGTGGATTAGTCAAAACACTGCTCAAGGCAGTGAACATATGTGTGCATACGGCGGCAGGCAGCGTATGCTAACGACTCTCCCTCCCCCTCTATCCCCCCAGTTGCTTGGCTTCGGCCGGCCGTGCTCGGCTACACGCAGCGAGTGGCCCTGGGCAAGAGCGACCTTCTGCCAATGCACCTGCGCTTCCGATGTGCACGGCTTCTCTCTCTCTCTCTCTCCCTCTATCCCCCCAATTGCTCTCTCTCTCTCTCTCTCTCTCCCCTCTCTCCCTCTATATCCCCCCCGGTTGCTTGGCTTCGGCCGGCCGTGCTCGGCTCCACGCAGCGAGCGGCCCCGTGTCAGAGCGACCTCCAGTGCGCGGCTCTCTGCGGGGGGGGGCCGTGGGAGGGCCACACGCGAGCGCGCAGGACGCCATGGCCGCCCTCGCGCTCGGCGATCGGGGGGCCCCGTGGGCCCGCACCGAGCGGTCACCACTCCAGCGAGGGGTCCCTCTCACGTGCAGTCGGCGTGCCCCCTCGGTCCCGCAAGCGGCAAGCAAGGGCCATGCATCCTGAAGGTCGCGTCGGCGTACTCGAAGTAGCGCGGGAGACCCAAAGGCACCGACACCGCCACTCCCCGGACCCCTCCCGGGGTGCGTCATGACCCATGCTTCGAGGCGAAGCCAGCGGTGGCGACACGAGGGCCTCCCAGGAGGCCCAGAAGAGGGGGAGAAACGGGCAAGGGATAGCAGTATATGGGTACTCTTCTCCTCCCCTGAGGCTGAGGCCATGAGACGGAGAGACGAAGACAAGACTCAAAGACTGCTCGAGCGTCCCAAACCCCCGACGTCGTGATTTTTTCACGACGTCGACCCCCAGAGGTCTCGACCCCCTCCCCGGGACCATTTTTGTATCCTGACTTGTTCTTTGACGCTCCCGGGGCCCGGTGAAGGCCCCCGGAGGCCGAAAATAGCGGAAAAAACCTCCCGCCGTGTTTCTTCACAGCGCGAGGGGGGCCCAGGGAGACGGAGACAAAACTGATCGACTACTCGAGCATGGGATGGACGTTTGCCCCGCTGCCAGCGAGGCTGCTCGCGCGGCGGCTCGACAGAGCGCCCAGTCGAGGTACCGCGGCAGCGGCGGGGCACCTGCCTAGTCGAGGTGCCGCCGGGCAGGGCTGTGCGGACGCGCCAGGCAAGGGCCTACCACGAAAGGTTCTCATAGAGGCCTCCTAGATGGGGTCGGAGTAGATGGGGTCGGAGGATCGCGCCGCATCGCCGATACATCGGCGATACATCGTCGATGCATCGGCGATGCAGCGGCGATGCACCGGCGATGCATCGTCGACGTCGGCGATGCATCGGCGACGTCGACGTGACGCAAATCTGGCTGCACATCGAGCCGCATCGGCGATGCATCGGCGATGCGGCGCGATCCTCCGACCCCATCGACTCCGACCCCATCTAGGAGGCCTAGATCTCAGGACCCCAGAATCTTCGAATGACGAAAAAGATGATCCCAGACCCACCTCGGGCTGTGACAAAAAGCACGAAGGGACGTTTTTCGCTATTTTCGGCCTCCGGGGGCCCTCACCGGACCTCGGGGCCGTCAACAAAAAAAACGACTCAGGATGCAAAACCGGTCCCGGGGAAGGGGTCCAGACCTCTGGGGGTCGGCGTTGTGAAAAAAACACGACGTCGGGGGTCTGGGTTCTTGGAGCATAAAAACCATGGGTTAAAACAGGACAATTCCAGCCAGAAGTGTTCTAAGAACATGTCGTGTACTGTGCGAGACGACCACCGCTGCGGACATCCTCCCGGCCTGGCTGAGACCATGTGCGCAAGGCCGTGGCCTCAGAAGTCTGGCGCGTGTGGACCACATGCAATGATAAACAGAAACTATGAGGGGGGGGGAGAAGGTCCTGGAGGTCGATGCGGGCGTGCTGGCGGGCCTAGAGGCAAGCCAGCCAGGACGCTTCGCCACCGCTCGAGGGGCGGCGTTGGCGGGCGGGGCGTCGCGAAGACCAAGCCGACAAGGAATGGGCGGCATCGGTGCGCGCGTCGCTGGTGGACCAGACAACAAACCGGACCACCCCACCTACGGCCTCGCGGGGCTTAGCGTATACCAGCAAACATCTGGCGTGGGCTTTTGCCTTGTATACAATATACTGTAGCGCAACATGGCCGATTCCGGAAACCCTGAATCCAAACATGCTTTCAGGCGCATGTTTCACTTCCGCCGACCTTCCGCGCCCTTCCGCCGCGCAAGAGATGGCAACTCCTTCGATCCTCGAAGGCAAGGCCATTTTCGGAACGCTTCACATGAAGGGCCGTAGGTGGGGTGGTATCGCTTGTTTCATGGTCGAGCTGGTGGCGGCGCATACGGTCGGGAGCTGCTGCAGAGCGTGCCGCGGCGGCGGCCCTGGCGGTGCGGGAGGTGGGGGAAAGGCTCGGGACGTTTTGAGGCTCGGGGGCCGAAAAGTGGACAGCGTGTCGCGCCGAAGCGCGGCGGGCCAGAGCTGGCGGAGCGACGCGCTCGGCCAGAGTTCCTGGCCCCGGCCGCTCCGACACGCAACCACGCAACCCGTAGCGTGTTGACACGGAGCTGAACGCGCAGCTTGCAAACGTACGTGCGCCTGGCGCGGCACCTTCGCCAAGACGTGGGCCAACACGCGGAGCCAACACGCAACGCGTTAACAGGGGCGTTTTGAACACGGCGCGTCTTGCGTTTCAAAGCGGGCGCATCGGGGCAGCTACGCTCCTGATCGTAACTTGTTCTGGCTATCGTCATCCACACACTGATCGGCCCATTGCATTTTGACCCCCCTCCAGCCCTCCCGGCGACGCCAACGACGAAGGCCTTCCTCCAGCCCTCCAGCCCTTCCACGACGACGAGGCGACAACGACGCCGCCGCCGCCGCCGAGGACGGGAAGGACGAAAACGGGGCTGAAAACGGCAAAGATGGCAACGATGACGGCAAAGACGACGGCGACGAGGGCGGAAACGACGACGACGCCGACGCGACGCCGACGACAAGGACAACGACGACGACGACGACGACGACGACGACGATGACGAGCGACGAGCGGAACTCGCGCCCCGCGGGCCTCGAGCTGCCCCTCGCGGCTGCCGTTCACCCAGGGGGCGCACGAGGCCTGTGGCCACGGCCGCCGCCGCCGCTCACCGCCCGCCGCCGCCGTCGGCGTCGAGGTCGTCGCCGTGGTCCTCGCCGTCGCCGCCGCCGCCGCCGCCGTCGCCGCCGTCGTCACCGCAGCCGCCGCCGCCGCCCGCGCGCGCGTCGTGGACCCCGTCGGTCGGAGTCGGTCGCTGGAGGCGGCGTCGAAGTCGTGGTCGTCGCGGTCGGTCCGGGCCGCTGCAGGCGGCAGGGTGCCACCTGTGACCGCTGGCGGCGGCGGCGATAGCGGCGGCGGCGAAGGGGACGAGGAGGCGCTGGATGGGGATGAGTAGGGGGAGGAGGGGGGGAACGAGAGGGGGGGGGGGTGGAGGAGGGGGGAGGACGAGAGGAGGAAGGAATCGACGAGGAAGACGACGAGAAAGTAGGACAACGAGAAAGGAGGGTGACGAGGAAGAAAGCACCACCCCAGAACTCCGACGTTGTGAGATTTTCTCACAACGTGGACCCCCAGACGTCTGGACCCCTTCCCCGGAACCGGCTACGCACCCAGAGTTGCGTTTTGACGGCCCCGGGGCCTGGCGAGGGCCCCCGGAGGCCAAAAACTGCTAGCTTCTAACGAGGAAGAGGAAGAAGAGGAGGGGGGGAGAGGAGGAGAGGAGGAGAGGAGGAGGAGGAGGAGGGATGAGGATGGAGGAGGTGAGGAGAGGAAGGAGGAGAAGGAGGAGGAGGAGGAGAGGAGGCAGAGAGGAGGAGGAGGGGGACGAGGACAAACGCGCTCCCTCCGCTCGCTGGCCGCCGCCGCCTCCGCGCACCAGTCGGCGCAGCCGGCCCGAAACGAGTCGATGTTGATCCACTCGTC